TTTTACACTTTAACATTGTAACCATCAACAAACGTTAGAAGTAAGTTTACCAAATGTCTTCTTATAATTTCAAGATCAAGCAAAAATAAATCTAGTACAAAAAATCACTCATTCAATTTGCGTGTTTCGTCTTGTCAAATTTTGTTATTCAATACTTATGATATGTGTGTAGTTTATAAGGGAAACAGTAGTGCTGCAAACATTAAAAATTTAGTCATCATAACAAAATGACCGCTGGAAATCACAGATTTACGTGTTACGTTTTGCGGATTGCTGAAATTGTGGTGATCAATGGACGGAAAAGTTCAAAAGGGGCCACAGCTGAATAAAATTTGAGGACGCCTGATCTAGGCTATTCTGCGCGTGGAAACCAATGAGTGGAAGAGTTCTTCGGTTCCGACTAGGAGAGCCGAAGACCAAGTAGGACGTAGATATAACGTTGTGACCGTGTTACGAACCTCAGCCTACGATAGACACTCTAAACTAATCGTCTGCGACCCATCCTGAATCACCTGAGTAGGAAGAAGTCCGGAAACAAGGGGCCAACTGGATTGATCTTGAAAATGCTCCGTTCAGCGAGCAATACGGCGCTGTGTCCGATGGTTTCACGGACACCTGGTTTCCTAGGACCGGTAGTGCTTATCAGTTGGAAGAGTTTGCGATAATGGTTATTGCTCTTGCCTCCTCCATTTCACTACTAGGCTTCCATCTCCGCCCATAGACAACAACTGGTATAAATGACCAACCTGTTCATGACCACAGCACAACGTAGAGGTGTCACTGGTCCAAACAGTAGCACCAGGTAAAGTGTGGTTCGCATATTTTGCCTGGCTGATAAGCAAGACTTAGCAGCCTAACTGTTATAGTTGAGGGAACGCCGCCTCTCGATATGGATTGCGTAACGCCTGATAAGATTGTCGCTGGCCCGATTGGAGCACGCCTACGATAATTGCTTGTAACGCTGGCCAATCGAACGGAGTTGCGCTGACCTGATGACGCTAGCTTAGCCGGGTAAGACGGAAAATTGAGCGAGCGTGTGACCGATCCTGGCCGCAAGTGTTCGGATAGACGCTGACCCCTCGGAACGAATGCACACGAGAGGGGGGTACGATAGACGCGCGCTAATGGCTTAGACGCGAAGGATGGCCAGCTAACGACTCACACGCAATTCCGTGACCCGACCGACTCTCAACTGAGGCGAAGAGAAAGAAAAGGCAAGTGGTCCTCTGTAGGCTCTTTTACGACCGACAAAGGGCGATCACAGCCAGTGCTATGAGTTATTAAGTTAGGGAAAACAGTCACCACGCCGAGGTGGTAGTTTGCAAATGAGCATTGTCGAAAGGTGCGCAGTTGAGGCGCGTCTCGGAGTGGCTGAGCTCTGCTGCGTTGTGGGGAGGAATTGGACCTCGGTTTCCACAGCCATTCTGCCGGGGTTTCTGGCGTGTTTTTGCGGGAATATTTGACGTGCCCGCAACACCTCCCTTTGAAGAGAGAGCGTACCGCTTCTGGCGAGGATTGACCTGGAGGGATTTCGGTGACCTCCGGATTCTTTCTGTTCGTCGGCAAGGTGGGTTCTCGAGATGCGGCGGCGACTGAGCGGCTTCGACCGTGGTCTGTCGTTGTGTGGCCAATCCGAAAGTATCCAACAGGATGTGCAGCGGCAGGCGCACGGGATAGCTGGCTGGCGTGGAGGTTTCTTCGTGGCGCGGACGAAGTTGATTGCGATGGCGAACCCAGGTGTCATCACCTACGGAGACATCATGAAGAATGTCACCTCGCCTGGCCGTCACTGTTGCTTTGCTCCAGCGAGGATGACCTGCTCGGTAATCGCGAGCGTAGACTGGGGCTCCGACGGCGAATTCTTTATGCTTGCTGTAGGCACCAGATTGAGTAGGTGGCTTCTCAGTCGGAATGAGTGCATCGTTTGTGGTGCGTAGCTTGCGGTTCATCAATGCTTCAGCTGGTGACTGGCATCCTGGCGTAGCTGGATTCGGTGTGGATCGGTACGAGAGCAGGAAGGCTTGAAGACACTCATCCACGGTCCCCTCCCCGCGAAATTTCAAAAGCGCCCTCTTGAAGGTGTCGACAAATCGCTCCGCTTGACCGTTGGATTGGGGATGGTAAGGCGGTGAGCGGAGGTGTTCGATGCAGTGTCGGCGACAAAAGTCTTCGAAGACGTAAGACGTGAACTGGGTACCATTGTCGGACACCAAAACCTCGGGAAGGCCATGTTGACTGAAGATACGTTGGAGACAAGCCAGAGTGGCGGATGCGGTTGGTGGGTTGACGGCGACCACTTCTGGCCATTTGGAAAAGGCGTCGACCACGACCAGATAGGAAATGCCATCGATGGGACCAGCGTAATCGATGTGCACTCGAGACCACGGTTTTGCTGGCGGATGCCAAGGAACTGATGATTGGTGTGGTGGCGTGTTTGAGGCTTGTTGAAAATCCTGGAACACGGGGGCGGATTGACTGCCTTTGTCGTCGGTTGGGTCTTTTGGTACTGCCGGAGAATGTACCACGTTGCAGATGGCCCGAAGAGGAAGATCGGCCAAGCCAAAGGTTTCGAGCCAGTCGAGACCAAGCACGTTGAGCTTCGCCTTCGTGATGTAGCAGATCGCGTTGAACGTGGCGCCCCGGAAGGAGACGGAGCAGTGCAGCTGCCCAGTTAGCTGCACGCGGCCACCACAGGCGCTGGTGGCAGATTGGGAGGTCGGTTCGAAAGGTGGCTTGCCAAGGGATCGCCAGAGATCCTCGGAGATGATTGTGATGTCCGACGCAGTGTCCAACTGCAATCGGACCGACTGACAGTTGATCAGGACGTCGACGAATTTTCTCCGATCCGCAGCGTTGATTTGGAACGTGGCCAGCAGGCTCAGGGAGCTGCCAACCGGACCAGGTTTGGGTGTGCGTCTGGGTCGGAACCTCTGCTTTGGATCGCGGGTGGGGGCCAGCCCAGGTTTGGCCCCCTTGGGAGATGGAGGATGGTAGTAACCCCACCCTGCCACAACGTTGACAACGATGCTGGCGGAAATTGCAGTCCCGGTGGAAATGCCAGGCACCACAGAATCCGCACGCGTAGGGTGGGGACTTCGCTCGGTCGGATTGGGTTGGGCGCGCGGACGATTGTGCCCTCGGTGCTGTGACTGCTTGGACCATACCAGGTGCGGCGGCGTTCTGGATCATTGCAGAGTCGTGCTTCAGGTTGAGCAGCGTTTGACACTCCTCGGCCAGGTTCTGGAGTGTGACTGAGCTATCCTGTTGTAGCTTGGACAGGAGGCGCGTCCGGATATCGGCATCGTGTGGAGGTTGGAGGCCAGAGACGAAGATCAGGCATTTGAATTGGTCCCCGGTGAACGACCCAAGTTGAAAACGTTGGCATTCACGGTTGACCACGCCCGCGTACGTGATGAAGTCGTCGGCATCACGTTTGGCCAGCTGCAGACACTGATAACGAGCATTGAACAGAGAGGACTGCTCGCCAAAAATCTGTGACAACGTTCGGACCGTGTCGTCAAAGGTAACGTCCCGTGGGTTCCTCGGCAAGATGAAATTGGTGTAGCGCTGGTGTTCGAGGGTACCAAGTTTGCGAAGAAGCAGCCGGACCTTCCACGCGTCGTCCTGGCAAGCCAAGTCAACGGTGAACAGGTCCACGTACCGCTTGTAGCAGGATTCAAACGTTACCCCGGTCTTGGCGTCGTACAGGAATTCGATGATGCCGCTAACCACCTGGTCCACTGACTGAGAATTGGCGCTCGGACCTGCATGAAGGGAAGAACTGGAAAGCTGTTCGGTTAGCACGGACATCAATTTAAGCTGTTGCTGCAGCATCAGTTTTAAATCTGCGTATTCGTCAGTCATGGTTCGTCAACTCTGTCGCCACTGTTATAGTTGAGGGAACGCCGCCGCACCTGGTATGGTCCAGGCAGTCACAGCACCGAGGGGACAATCGTCCGCGCGTGGTCCTCTGTAGGCTCTTTTACGACCGACAAAGGGCGATCACAGCCAGTGCTATGGGTTATTAAGTTAGGGAAAACAGTCACCACGCCGAGGTGGTAGTTTGCAAATGAGCATTGTCGAAAGGTGCGCAGTTGAGGCGCGTCTCGGAGTGGCTGAGCTCTGCTGCGTTGTGGGGAGGAATTGGACCTCGGTTTCCACAGCCATTCTGCCGGGGTTTCTGGCGCGTTTTTGCGGGAATATTTGACGTGCCCGCAACACTAACATTAACACTTCAGGTGAACGATCTGCAACTAATAGGAAGTAAGAAGTTTTGATTAGTGCTTTGAGCTGAGCAATCTAATTGCAATCAATCAACCGCCAACCTGAGCTACCGGTATTCAGACATCATGCATCAAAAAGTTATAAGGACGCTACCATTCACCACGCGTATCGCAGAGACACAATTCAGGAAAGTCCAGACAGCGAATGTTGCTCGTTTGCAGATAGCACATTTATCTCTCAATCCGAAAGAGACAGGTTTGCTGGAAGCTTTTATTCTTTCGTCCCAGAATGTACAGTCTGCTCCACAAAGAATTGGGATAAAGGTAAATTTGCTGAAACCAATCCACCCAAAACGGTTCTTGGAATATGGCACTCAGTACAGATCTTAAGATCACAGAATAACGCCAAGGGGATGAATTAGTATTAGTATTAGGCTTATCATGTGTTTTGTTAAAAGACGTAACTAATCAAGAAGGCGCTCGAGAAGGGAACAAAAATGCAGTTGTCCCGAGGGTGCTCCGAGCAAAAAAGCGGGAGATTGAATCTCAAAGCACGGATGACCAAGTGTGTGTGTGTGGCGAATAGGAAATGAGAAAATTTCCCATAAATCAAAGCAGATCAATAGGAACTGCCACAACCAGAACAAGGATGGAAAACGATCGGAAGGTGGTTGGCAGCTTGCGTTTCAGCTCCAGCCACACGCAACCAGTGATTTAGGTTCCACTTAACGATGGTAGGAGAGCAAGTAACATGCAAGCCCATCTGAAATTACTTACTGTAATTTGCCGGAATGTTTTTGACATTGCCAGTAGATGGGGTAAAAATCGGAGTGGCGACAGCTGGAGAGGACAACATCACCACCATCTTGGGGTTACGATGCTCGGTAAGAGCGGGTGTAGTTGCCGAACCACGATGTGCAGCATTCTTGTGTAGGACTTGACTTGACAGCCCACCAGACGAAACTGAAGAGGAGCGAGATAAGGACTCTGATCGGTTGGTGGCGTTGGCTGCTGACGAAGCGGCTGCGTTGAGTTGGCTCCCAGAACGTCGAACTTCCAATGATAGGTTGAGAGTGATCGCTTTGGGACGTGCAAAGGTGATTGCCCAAAGGGCTTCCCTAGCTGTGCGCACAAGGTCATTGTGATCGGGAATGGGTAGCCACCTCGGTAAGCTTGAAAACGATAGAGGTGTGAATACCAGAAAGTGGCGGGATTAGATGGAGAAGGTAGAAAAGGACGCCTGATCGCAAAATAGTATTTTCGTGTTAACACGCAAAATAATTGATTGTTCACGGTCGGGTGAATAAAGCAAAGAAGATCAACACAATGTGACAACCTGCAACCAAATACTCAACTTTAAGCAGTAACGATTCGGTTTAATGCAAGGCGAAGTTTTTGAGCCGCTTTCTGTTGTCATCGGTGAGGTTATATATTCGGACACATCGCTGTCTGTGTTGAACATCATTTTATTGTGGCAGTACAGCTGAATACTGAAATTGGCAAGCGAGATAAATCTGTGTTGCTCCATCATTGGTTTATCGGGCACATGCGCGGAATCATGTCGCTGATTCCTGCGCGATGACAGCATATTACGGCTGCACTACATCTTATCCAGATACGATACGATCCCTATACCCGTAGTCCGCAAAGTGGGCGTCAAGGAATCTCTTAAATTCCGGCACCGATTTCGTCTCGACTAGCGTCTCCGGCAATTTGTTTCAATATTTCACCAGTGGACGCTCGAAGCACAGAGGATGAGCGATGTGCTTTAACTCCGGTACCACTAGTTAGTACCGGTGTCCGCGTGCGCTGCTTCGTGCGGGAACGTGAAGCAGCCGCCCCAACATAGGGAAGTGGCCCAGGTGCAGTATCCGGTGAGTAATCATGAGATCAACTCGAAACCGACGATATGACAGGGTAGAAAACAATAGTCTCCCATATCGGTCCTCGTATGACATACCCCGGGTGGCTACATGTTGAACCAGTTCCAGTCTCTGCACCTCACCTATTGCGATCGGACAATAGACGGGTGAGCCGTACCCAAGCACCGATCTTATCATGGAAGACGTGTGGCAATCTCTTCAGATCAAGGGCAGAAACTGCGTCTGAGTGTGCAAAGCAGGCGTAGTCCGTTTGCGTACAGTCTGTTCGTGTTGTTGACGGAGTTCAGATCACAGGGTGAGAGTACACCTAGATCCCTTACGGAACTAGTGGGATGCAGCGGTTGGTCTGCTATGGTGTACACACGTCCATTACCAACCTTTCTCAGGCTCATAAATGACGACTTGACCGGCAGAACAACTTCTGCAAACTACAGGACAGACGGTCGAGGTCCTGCTGAAGAACGTCACAGCCCTCGGGAGGATCAATAACCCCCAAAATCTTCAGGTCGTCTGCAAACAGGGCACAGGGCGACCGAAGAAGCTGAGGTACTCTATTGATGTGGATCAGTAACAAAATGGGCCCCAGTACTGTGCCTTGGAGTACGCCGCTATTCGACGGGTACCATTCTGTTAGGTGGTTATCCAACTGTACCCGTCATTTTCCCACAATGAGGAAGTCACTGATCCACTGGTGTAGTGCGTCTTCAACATCACACATCCTTAGCTTGCGAAGGAGCACCTAATGGTTCACTTTATGGAAAGCTTTACTGTAATCAAGGTAGATAAGGTCTACTGGTTTCCACCGGTTTAACACCTGCAACCATTCCGGCCGCATCAGTAGCAATTTAGTGATGTAGGAGCGGTCATACATGAGACGGTGTTGTGCGGGCGTAGTCTTTCGACTCTAATAGCTGAAGACACTTTTTCACAACATTCTCGAGCACTTGCGCCAAAAGATCGTACTGCCCTACCAGTGTGGAAGAAGAACGTGGCAGCGGGACGCCAACATACTGTACTAGCCCTGCGCTACAACGCGACTATCATTAGTCGCGCATGGTCTAAGTATGTCGCGAAGTCGCTCGCAACAACGCGGATTCGAACCACCGATGACCTTCAAATTACAAGGTAGGCGGCGTGCAGCTCCTTCGGCCACCGGCCGACATGTAACTGTGTCAATGCTGGAGATTGTAATAACAACCACATATCGTTTACTAAAGCGTTTGGCTGGTCTAATACAGTGGCTTTTCGGGCCAGATTTGACATACAGTCAGATTTCGTCTGGAATAGAATTCGTCTGTTTTCCATATTAAAGCGGGTTCTTTATAAAAATCGAAATCAACGCACCGTGAAGTTTAAAGTAAAGCATATTATGGCTCGTTGACTAAAAACACTGCAAAATGTGGCAAACTGTGAGATAACACGAAATATCACAAGAATTCTGCTGACTGTCTCCAATTGATTTTACAGGTCCCACGAGTGGAATCCAGTCACCACAATGGGAGCACATCGTTGGTACGCCCATTTCTGCTTCGAGCTGTATCGTCCAGTAGAAGGCTACTACTTGCTGATAGATTGACTTTTCTTGCTGCTAATGAGGTAGCTTAGAAGGGAAAAAGAAAAAGAGTCACCCTGATCAAACGTCCCTCTTCCATAAGGCAAGGCGATAAATGCTGTTCTGAATAATGTGAAAGACAGTAGTAGTATGCTGGTACGCAGTACCAACGAATCGTACCCGCGCAAGCATCACCAGTTGCACGTAGGCTAAGGGTACTGTTAGGGTCGTCCGGTCCCTTCGCAGGCTCGAAGCCGCGCCGATGGAATGGTTGCAAGGCAGGTCTGTGACCATCAAGCCTACGGGCCGTAATTTGGGGAGAATGTTAAAGCGTATGCATGACCAGAGAGCTTAGGTGGGAGACATGGTAAATGTGGTGTGGATAAGCTTAACACTGAGTTCAGCTCCCCGCCCCAGACACAGCGCTCCTTCTCCTCTTCATCTGTTGAGGTCCTGTAGTTATCCTCTTGATCAAAAATAACGAAGCAAAATAAGGTTAGTGTCCCTGACGCTTCGTGTGCCAATCCACGACCAACCGGTATCAGAGTCTGACGAGTAATATCATCGCCAAACAAAAAGAATCCACAGAAGTATAACCAAGTTCGCCCAGATCAGTGCTAAAAATCATCCAGCAATTTTCGAGTTGCGTTACTTGTTCCAAACTCTAATTCGGATGACGCCTATCAGTTTGCCTGAAGACGTTAGCGACCCACACAAGGTAAAGCGCTGTATCTTGTGCAATCCATAGCAGCTATAGCAGATAGAAGTTCAACTTATGTTGTCTGCCTATCCAAACGCCTCCGGAAGACTTGGCAGTACTATGCTGCTCCAGTTGTTGGTTGAGAATGGTATCTAAATTCGCACGGGTTCCGGCAGGTAGTCCTACATAGTTTCTGCTGTGGTGCTTACCTGACAACTATATTATCCTTTTCCTTTAGTTTTATACATCGAATACTGTCTTTTGCAATCAATAGTTATTGGTTGCGAATATGCTGAAAGCGCTGCGCTCGGTTGTGTTGATTCCAGTATTGAAATGCTCACCATGAGGCCTAGTTGATTTCAGTAACGCAGTAGTTCGTGCTGACAGCTCCGGATCTTCCTGAAGCTCAGTTAGTAACTAGTACACACACTGACGATGAAAACTAGAATGATGGTAGGGCGCTCAATGAAGTCCGGTGAACAAATCAATAGCCCAATTGTTTCGATGAACTTATGAAGTGGTCGTCATCCTAATCTTCTACACAAAGTGTACCTAAAAGTTGGGACATAATATATCCATTCCCTCGATATTTGTATGATAAGCTGTGGGTTACTTGAGGTGTCTCCTATTCTCGGAGCGTTAGAGAACAAGTCATCCCTGGTTCATTCAGCGACAGAAATCACTTAGAAGAGTTAAATTACGCGTTGCTACTGGAATGCAAACAACGGGAGTGCCGGAACTGGATAACGGTGTTAGTTACAATACGTCAGCAATTACAACTGTAAAATAACCGGTCTTCCATTGCCAACAGGAATACGACAATCGGCAGGGTGTCTCAAAAGCCAAGAAATTAGACTTCAAACGGATACCGTGTGTGTATATGGTCACATTAAAGCCACAGTGTACCGCACTGCACGTGTGTGAACGAGATGACTGCATGGGTTGCAAGCAGACTAAGGCGAAAGGGACATGAAGGGGTTAAACATGACAGGGGAACTCGACACACAAAGTGTCGCACGAGAAACGCGCGACCTTCGGAGTAGAGAAAGCGGAAAGCGGCATAGTGAGCGGCGCAATATCGCATCTAGTAACAGTCACGATGGTCGTTGCCGTCCCCCCAGCACAGTGGTCTCAACCATAGAATTGTAACAGTCGAGTTGCGGGTTCGAGCCCTACAAGTGTCAAATGCAATGCGCACTGCAGACGATTCCCGTAAAGATCAAGCGGTCGTACAGTGCTGTTCCGGGCGTTGATAGCTGTCTGACTAAGGCTAGATGTGATGACTTTCTACCTATGCCATTCAACTCCCCCTACTACTCATTTGCGACATGAAAGCACCAAAAGTGGAAGGCAGTGACAGGGCGATAGTGCTTGGACGTATCCAGATGGGGTGAGATCATGGAAGAGCGCTGCTGTAAAACACGTTAGTGTGAGGGCTGTAAACAAGGTCTAGGACTGGAATTCGAACCACAAGGAGTGGTTGGGTTGGGGTATTAAGTTAGAGTTTGGATCGGGAGGCACACACTCAGAGTTGGAATGAAGGGAGTCACAAGCTTGCAGCGCACTAGTTAGGGAGTGCCCAGTTGACATGCGCGTTAGCAAGCATTGTCAGGCATGAATCAGGTTTTCTTCAGAGGCTTTTAGAGAGACTGTTTAAACAAGAAACGACGGCCTACCAACAGTTCTCCCTGCTTCTCTTACACGCTCCAGAGTAAGTGCTATCCCGCGAATTAAATCACACAAAAATGTTGCAATGTCGGACCTGTCACTTACTTGTTAACTCGGAGAAGACGATAGATGTGTTGTGGGACTGTTTGTTCGAGTGACATTTATACATCACCAATCTATAAAATGTATAGGGTTCAGATGACAATATCTTAGTAAATCCATAACCGACGGTGTAACATGTTGAAAATGCACTATCCGAGTACCTAAAGCCCAGCTTGACTTGACCTATTTGGAACTCCGAGGTCGACACACGACAGGAGTAAACGGTAACAGAAGAAATCATGTGCTGTGTGTGCCGCAGCCTCTGCGGTTCCGGCTCAATATGCATCAAGCCAAGTACTACATTATGACGCAAGCGTCACTATCACATACTAAGAGACCCCAAGCATAGTACAAGTGCTCACTAAAAGACTAATGCAGGATATTGTGCGTTGCTTTGGGTGATTGGAACCTATAAAATGTAAGGCGTAGGTGCATTACTGTGTTGATACGCTAACGATTTTTACTATTACTGAATAACCACTAGAAGTGAGTCAAACTTTCACCAGTTTTAGTGGTTGCATCGCACCAGAAGGCAAAAGTACCGAACTGTTCAGGGCCCGATTGGCCTTCATGAGTTTCGGTCGTTAGTGGAGACAAAGAAACGGCGGAGAATCCGATGCTGTAATGCGTCCAGTGCAGTCGCGGGGATGAGGGATATGACCGATAGAGCACCGATTGAGCCCTACCGAATTTTGAAGTTTGACAACAGACCCCAAAGGGAAGCACTCACGCTGCCTAAGAAATATCCTTAGCATGTGTGTCAACCACAAGTCTCCGCTGGATGTGTTGTTGGAGAATCAGGTAGAGCAGATGAGACCTCGGGGTAATCAATTAACGATGAATCATCAAGAAAGCGGTAAAGACATCATCAGGTCAACGCAAACCGTCTTCCTGGATAGGCGTCACTGTGATCAGTTTGCTCACATTTGGTGGGAACACTGAGTGAGCAACGCTGAGGTCCGCCAGTTGGTTATCGGCAAGTAGACTTCTAGCGCCTCTCCCGAATGCATGTTAAATCTTAGTCGAATTGGTTGGCTAGCTCATATCCTCCGTATGTCCGTTGGTTGGATTTCTCGGTGTGCATTATATGCTGTGGCTGCGTCAAGCTGGGCGAAACCGCGAGGTGGCCAGTCCATGACATGGCATGGAAGCTTGAAGAAATTGACTGAGAGATTTAGTCAGACTGGTGCGTGCCGTCTTCGTGGATGGCGGCCCCGGGACGGTCTACACCAACAGTTCGAGATCCCGTCAGATATGGAGCAGTCAAGAAGTCAATGACATTCCTGCATTCGGTTTCTTTCATCTGGTTGTTAAGTTTCGTTCCATTCCGATTAGTCTAACGCATTTCCTTCTTGCTTTCTCCACATTCTATTTGCACCCAAATGCACTATCCTACCGTTGTTATTTAGTGTTATTCTTACGGTGTGAGTCGTGACAACTGGATCCACCGCACTTGGGTGCTTGGCTTATGGTTGGACACACTTGCTAATACGGCGAAGAGCCGACGCCAATGGGGTTTATGCTATGAGTTTCTTTGGCCAACTCTTCCCCTTAGGATTCCCCATTCGAATGCAATCGCATGCGGAATGCATAACATAATAGTTACCATTATATTACTTGTTTTTTTTGAATTTTTTGTAACGTAAATTTTTAGTGTCATAATTTGTACTGCGGTATATTAGCTGAGGTGTGTTTCTCACCCCCACAGCTAACGTGTATTGATGGCGATGATGGGTGCTTGGATCATAGTTGTTCAACTGTACTGAACTGAACTGATGTGATCAATTTATTTTCTAGTTCAACGACAAAGTTGCAGTGAAAATGGTGAAATGATATTTAACGGGCTACATTAGCTTTGTGAATGGCCCATGTTAAAGCAAACTCCTTGCAAGAAAGAACCTTGGTTTGACATAATTAAGAGGTAGGAAAAGTGCCACCCATTCTCAAAACTGTCCCCGAGGAGGCAGCGAAAATAATTTATTTCGTTAAACTTTGGCTAGTAAAAAACCGACTGTTCAAGATTCGCTGTGATGATATGGTGAGTGTCAGAATTACGCACATAAATCTCCGCCTTCTCCATTAATCAACACTTTGTTTTACAGTTCCAGACGACTGATATAACTGGGTTGTAGCAAGACCTGCTGATTTGTCAGATATAAATGGAGTAAATCTGGCATTGCAAAGAAAATCCACGAACATACGCAATGCAAATGACAAAATCCAAGTTTCCAAAAGTATGTTGAAATTTTGGGCGAATTCCATGTAAAGCGGAGATCTTGACAGCATTCCGGTAATAAAATACGTTTTAGAAGATATGGACGTGGGCACAGAATATCCAGTGGGTCTTACTAACGAAACTGTGCAGGATTTGGAAGATATGGTTAAATTCTTGTTTAGTATTACCTCAGCGAAGGAAAAATTAAATAAATTTTAATAGATCACGAAACCCATTTACTTGCATAAGTAAGCTTCCTCCTCCCTATACATCTCTTCAGTATGAGAAGTTCATCGACATTATATCAGATTCTTTCTTTCAGGAAAAGATTCAGTGTCTCTATCTGATTTCTGATGCAAAACAAGGAACCAGTAGCTGTCGATGTAATTCTCCCGCTTGCCATAACTTATCTGTGCGAAAGTGGATTTTCACATTACACATTTCCAAAAATAAAGTAAGTACTTGAAGCTGAGGTTATTGCTATCCCAAATAATAGCAAACATCAAAGAAGTCAATACTGCATGTCAAAAGCAATTTCGTCCGACACACTAAGGAATGTGGTACGTTGTTTTTTGCGGTTGCATATAACATCCTTCATTTTTCATTAACATTAATGATCACTCGTTAATGCAGTGCACAGGAATGAAAATTTGAAGACAAAGGGCCCCCATTCGCATGTTATTAAAGCCTAGTTCTATGGTTAACAATATTTTCACTAAAAAGGGGTCCACTAACTAAAAAATTTTGGAAACAGTTCTCAGCGTTCGCGCATTTTATGTTGTTTTCCTGTATCGCTGATATTTGTTATTACTACGGCACCGCGAGTAATAGAAGATGGATTCACAGCGCTTTGGCATATGAATCATGGATGACCCACTGAGTTGTATTGCAGTGATAAAAGAAAATGGAGTATTAGCGTTTGGTAACAGCGTACCTGGACAGTAACGTTTCCGTACCCGCAACCAAGGACAGTAAACCGTTGATTACCTGTCCAAGGTCAGAATAAGGTTCCCAGACAACAAAGCCCTTGCCAAGCAGATCAATAGCGGCACGGCGGAGAGAACCGTTCGGATTGGACATGAGATGGGCCAAAGTGGTAGCTTCTGTATTGTTGAAAAGCCTCCCACATCGATTGGGAACAAAGCCAGGCTGTGAAATTGAACTCGGTGGTCGTGCATCCCGATGTGGTGAGGTGCCATCTAACAAGGGAGCTGAAATATGTGGGTGAAGGGCTTGACTGGAGGGGGTTAAGATAAACAGCTTATGGCACAACGGTTAGGTGTATGGGATAACGTATTTATGTTAGACAACCGACGATCGCAGTGTTTTAAAAAACACTGGGAGGCGCACCACTGACGAGACCCAGAAGGTTGAAATGCCGGCGTCTGGTGCTTTTCCACACTAGTCTAAGCCTGCTGATTGGAAGCGACGATGATGAATTAGCTAAAAGAGACTTGAATTGAGTTTGTTTGATCCCTAAAAACTGACCGAAATGGTAAGAGAAAAAGTAGAGCTCACCAAATCAGAAAGGTACAGGAACCGGAGCAACAAGTTGTAATATGTTGTTACGGTGATGAAGGAGGCTGTGTTATATGCAAGAGGATAGTTGAATTTCAACACGCCACCACCAGCTATTGCAGATAAACATGAAGGCCGCCGTCCGAATAAGAAGGTTCCAGTGAACGCGGGTCATTAGATCGCCTGACAAGAGACACAATAATCGTTGCATCCCCAAGTCATCAACCAGAAGTGAAAATGCCAACACAACCGGGTTGAGTAGCAAATCAGTGTGTATCGGTTACTATGGACATTCTCAGACGTGCAACACAGGAACTCTCGGTGAAAAGATTGGACTTGCTGAAACCAAAAATGACTAGGTTCTCCTAAGAGTGTACTGTTACAGGGTCGACAGGAGCGTACGTGAAGTGCCCAGTCCAGACAACAATAGCAACGCGGTTATGCTTATCGGTGCGCAAAAATCAATAAGAAGACGCGACTTGGGCGTGGAGAGAGTAACATGAAACAAGTTAAACGCAATACTGCTTGAGTATAGAAACACCAGAAACGGATGTGTTCATGTAAACCCGTCAGCGTTCTTCAATGACCATTGACTCCAGTATCTGCACACAGGTTACGAGTTAACCTTTGTGTGCAAAACCATGAACACAAGTAAGGACATCTGAACTCAATGTAAGCATCACGGACGTCGCCAGAAGTGCAATAAGAACGCTGTCATAAGACATATCAAGAACCTGCGTATACTCTTCTATGGTGGAGGTCGTTGACTAAACAATATAGGCTCTCGTAGGCACGGCAAGAGACAAGAAAACGATTTAGGTGCTCCAGAAGTATATGTAAGAAGTATGCTTATTTTAAGGGTATATATATTACTAGAGGAATACATGGAAAGTGTGGAAACACAGTTCTAAAATGGATAGCTGTCAGGGAAGACGCAGTTACCGAACGTTATGATAAGTCTTTCAAAAAGGCAAAGTATGGCAGTCCAATTATCGTTTAAATCCCCAGCATGCAGACCGTGAGCAAAGAAGATCAGCAGGTGTTAACTTATTCGGTAACTTAGAGCAGGGACAGTACCAGTTGGCTCGCCTAACCCCAACCATGTCTACATCGCGTGTGCCCCTCTATCTCGGAGGAAGACATGGCAAAATTGAGGTTTACTTATAAACTCAAGCAACTTAAGTGTACATCAAGAACTTCCACTAGCTGATACGCTGAAATTAAAGGTCATAAAGGGTCTCAAGAACAGGAGAGTTGGCGGTAAACAACGACGTTTGGCTGCTGAGTTTTCACGTGGTCAGCCGGTAGTCCATTTCAGCCCTGCCGCAGCCCATTCTGGTGACACAGGATTCCTTCAGATATTGCTTAGCAAAGTGTGCAGCCTAAGAGATAATTCGTATGATTTAGGCCTACTTATAGACTTATCCTATCAAGACATGCGTATTCACTAAAACGTGGTTGTCTCAGGATATCACGGATGTTGAAGTACATACACCTGGTTACGCAAAACCTGTCTGATTACTACAGTGATCGATAACGCGGAGGCACCGTTCTTAAAAGGAATTGTAAAATTATGGTCTTGAGGATAGGCTTGTTTTAGTCGCCATACAAAACTGGTAAAGCTTTATCAGTTATGAGTAGAACTTCAAATGATCATATCACAGTTTTAGTTGTGTATAGAAGCCCTGGGAGTAGTTACAAGGAAGCGCCTGATTTTATTCGTTCTCGGATACCTAGCCCGCGTTTGGTACTGTGTGACTGTGTTCAACTTCCTTGCAGATCTTTGACTTACAGCACAAACACCGTCGTATCAGTGCATGGACGCACAAGCAGCGTCAATTTTTTTTTACCTTGTTGGTGATGACACTTGATTTTGTAAGTGGGCATGTCTGTCCATCTTTTAGTTGAGTTGTGTCGACCGGTGGCCGAGTGGTCTGCGTGCCTGGTTTGCAACCATAAGGTCACCGGTTCGAATCCGCGTAGGAGTGGGCGTGCTCGCGGTATACTCAGCCCGCGCGTGACTGGTGGTGGTCGCGCGGCAGCAAAGCGCTGTTACGGCGTACAGCTGACACATCATCATCATGCGGAGCCTAGACTGAAACTGGTGAGGAAGACTGGACGAAACTTGTGGCAGCGTGGCGAAACGTCACAGTGTAGCAGTCTGTCAGAGATGAAACGCTCTGACTTTCGAGCCAAGAATATGCAAGTGGTATAAAGTAAAAACGTTACATGTCTGATAATGCGCGTGTTCTAAGCACACATGTGTAAAATTCCGTATGAGAATGGTGGGAGGGTTCGGGACGAAGGATACCATACCTTTAATTGGATAATCCAGTTTTGAGGAGAAATCAAAGTTCTGTTTAGACCTTGCAGTGACCAAGAAGCAATGCGAACTGAACCGTTACACATTCTCGATGGCTGATGTCGTTCAGTTGGCCAGGAATAGATTTAAGTCCAATATCACTAAGATTACTGCTCCTTACCTCTCCCGCACAGAGAGAAAGTAGACGTAAGTACAGCCACCAGGACGGATTTCACCAGCATGTACATGCTCATGAAGAGGGGCTCCGTATGCTGTAGTTAATATGCGGTCCAGTCGGAAACTTAACAGCTGAAATCATTGTGAAACTGTTTTCGGCTTTTGTTCGGCTCCACCCAGAATATTGCGTCCTTCCTTCGCTGCCATGCTGGAGAAGGTCGTATGAGTGGGTACTAGGTTGGATGACGAGTTACGGAGACAGAAGAACCTTGAGAGCCTAGTTCATTTTCGGATGCATCTGATGCCCTACCGGATCCTTACTTACTGTATCTTAACTGCGAAGGTAGGGCCAGACTTGACTTGGCTATTTAGTACAGCCAGGTTATTCTGTTCCTGTTGTCGTCCCATGAGGTTGCACAAGTAGTGCTCTGAACAAAATGAGGGCGGAAATTCAGTTACCACGCTGAGTAATTGAGCGCTGGAACTCGCTTCCAGAAAATGTGGCCGGGGAACATCCACGGGATTCTCCCATCGTTTCAATCCCATCTGAAATTGAACTAAACAAAAGAAGTGCCCACGTGACAACGCCTACACCCATCGAATAGTGCGATATAGGCCGAAATGCATTGGAGAGCAATACCGACGAATGCTTTTGCAAGGGGATATTTGGGTTATCGTTGGTCACATGAAGGCGGATGGATAGGAGTCTAAAGTAACCAGAGCTTACTGATATCGGGAGAAAGGCAACTAGGTTTGCGCTGCTAGAGCGCTGACATCCGCCGTGAAACAAAGCAAGAGGGCTGGAAGGAGGGGACATTCATTGCATCCGGTGATGATGAAAACAAAAGAAGTAATGACTATGTACTGCCATCGAGTAATCTGGGTGAACAACCACCACGTTTGTAGATGCTGAGCGTATGGGGGCAAGCGAAGGTGACTAAAATCCAGCCTATAGTTGAAGCGAATTCAAGTGAAGATAACGAAAGACGATAAGCATACAAGATAAAACATGAAAACACTCTTGAGAAAAATAGGTGGCAAGTACGATGACATCGGCATGAAAGAGAGAAAGCGTACCTCGGTTAAGGAGAAGAGCGATCAAACACTGACTGACAGATCTTGCCAGTCGATAATCATCAAAACCAAAAATTCCTGAAACTTCCGGCTGAAGAGCTGTCACTTCACTGAGTTGATCAAGTGTCAATCGTAACCTATTTGACGCTCGGATTGTGGTGGTCGAACATCCGGAGTCCGGAGATTCAAAGCAGGGCATGGCTAAGCCATGGGTTCTGTTGTCATCATCATTACATCCAGATTCCGCTTGAATGTGACTGGGACCGGTGTCACTAGTGAGGTCGCGAGCAAACACTGCTGGGTGCCAATGTCTCACATGCGAACAATAGCGCGATCCAATCACAGCAAGGATTACCACAGCAGTGGCCTGGGATAGAGCGTAAAAGGAGAAAATTAGCCGCAACGAAGGTTGAATTGAGGGAACAGACGCGAAGGCGGTGACCCCATTCGCGAGGTACGGGGTACTTGATGAAGTAAGGTGAAACATGAGGAAAAGATAGGAAATAAATCACTGATAAAAGTTGACAGAATGTAAACGAAAAGCAGTGTTTACAAATATTAGAGGGTGTTGAGATACAATTTTCGTCCATGAGGCGCGCGAAGGGAGACATGGAGAACAGAATCCACGCAAGGGAAAACATATGATGCATATCGAGTAACTACGGAGACAACAGGTCTAGAAGTAACATGATGTTTGACAATTACTATTACAGAACACTGGATCGATGGGAAAAGCAGACACAATGGAAAAGGAAAAAAACGAGAAAGTTCTGAAACGCGTAGGATTGAGAATGGTTGCGACTCCAGAAAATCTCGATGCGACATATTATATATGCAAAAGAAATAATATGAGTTTGATATCCTGGTTGATCGCCGACTGAGAAGAAACGACAGACTGCATGCATTTGTCACTTAAAAACGCTCACAACGGCAAACCTTTGTTGTAGAGCTATCAAAGATTAGAACTAGATTGATGAACGGATGAACTGCTAGTGAAAGAGGCACATGATGGCGCATATCCGAAACACACTGGGTCGTAAAATCGCTGAGTCACAATGGGAGCGCAGATTCTCAGCTTGAAGAATAGAATAGCAGAAGCAGCGACTACCAAATGAAGCTGGACCTCGCCTAGCAGTAAAAAGGCAACGGATGGAACAGAGTGACTTCGAAAAAGGTAAACAGTCCGTTGTAGAGTACAAATAATGCGCCAACGATTTCCTCCGAGCAGCGCGAGGAATCAGAAAGCACAGTGACATCTTTACCTTCCAACGATAACCGAAAACGACAGGCCAAACTATAGGTATCCTAGTATTAGGGGTTAACGTTCTGAAACCCAATGGTGCGTGAATTTCGTGGCAAAAACCCAGTACCCACCGAGTTAGTCGTATGTGCGAATGTCCGCAAACACTGCTGAACTGGAAGAAAAAGGTTTACTGTTAAACTACTTGTCAACTGTAGGTCCTACAGTGGTGGGGTGTTTGCGACAGCACAAATACAAACTGTGACTGACAAGGTGAATTGAAGACACACGTCTTGAAGTCGCACAATGACTCGGGTGAGTCCGAACTTCGAAAAGTCTAAAACCGATGATGACAAGCGGTTCTTTGCTGAAGATGCACAATCAATTGTTTCACGTGCGGGTCTATGAGGAGAGATAGGGAAACAACGAAAAAGCAAATGCCTTCCTCTGAGGAAGTCCCTAAGGATGTCACCCAGAATGAAGTCAAAACGTCTGCAACAAAACTGCGGATAATGCTGCCTCCTCATTAAAATCACGGAAACAACTATTGCACTCATGCGGGCAACACACCATGACTACACGTGTATATTGGTGACACGCTTTGAACCACCCCAATGTGAGTGGATTCCGCCGGAAACGCTGGTTCCGACAACGACCGTAAGTAAAGGACAGAGGTTTGGTTGAAGTAATGACTGCTCTTTGAGGTAATGCCGCAACAGAGTTCTCACTGGTCACATCGTTGCTAGCATCTACAGACATGGGTAAACATATACTTGATTGAATCAACGGAACTAGGTCATATCGGTTCGTGGATACAACGCGAGCGAATAGGACGGTTTGGCGTGGAAAATTAGGGTGCGCATAACTAACGCCTACAGGCTCAGTTGAACACAGTACAAACACAAGTACCTGAGGGGCAAAAGCATTAGAGGCGTCGCTGGGAAACGGTAGCATCCATAATCAAGAATACCTCATGTAGGGAAGCTCGAACACTTACTTGGAGGCGCGCGTGTTCGCGAGCAGAGATACGATATCCATTGAGCGTCAGCCACCAATGGCTGTCAGGGACAGGTGGTATAGAGTTACCTGCAACCGCATCTAAACTACACAGACTGACAGATTCAGTGATGGGAAGTGGGTCATTTGATGGTGGTAATTCAGATGTGCGAGGTACTTGGCGTTCGGGTGACGCAGGTGGGTCAATGGAAAATCGCCGAGTAAGTGGGCTATCACTGGAATCCTTCGGTATATTCAGTTTGTTAATTGGCTGAGGTTTATGGAAGTGGGGATCAGATGGACGAGTAAGGTCACCGTTGACGACAGTCGAAGGAGCAGCTGGATGGATTGATACTGAGGTGTCGCGGTGCTGATTTGTTGGCTGTGCAAGGGAGAACGAGGGTAGCAGGTTTGTCCAGTAAGTGGCAACCTGTTTCCGGACTTGGGGACTCATTTGATCGAGAAGAGTTAGTAAGATGGTACGTGCAGCGTACCGAATCTGGAAGAGAATTGAAGGGAGAAGGAAGTCTTAATGTTAAACCAACTAGCTTTCACTAGCTGACAACGGGAGGTGTTGGGGCAAACTCACCGGCAAAGATCGATCTTGCCATCTGTGCACGAAAAACTCAAGTTCCGGTAAGCAAATGCAGGCAGGCTGTGTCGTGTTGAACGGTAGCACAATGGACGCTAACAGAGAGGTGCAGATACGGTGGGCAAGGTGCATCCAGCTGTTGCATATTAAGTGGTGGCTGTCTGTGTCCGAGTTGGACAGAGAATGTCGCGTTGACCCAGCAACGGGGTACCGACGCCACTCAAATAAACGAGCAAGATACGTTGAGCTGAGAGAAGTGATCGTCTCGGCCAAACTCAACTCAGCCAGAAGCAGGCCGGCGTTGATGAACCTGTTGAGCGAATGAAGCTGACTGAAGCCGCTAACCGACTCCGGGTTTAGGCAGGACCAACCTATTGAAAGCAAGAAAAGGGGATTTCATTAAAAGTGGAGGCAGTTGACGAGATATAAACAGCTGGCGAGAAGCAGTGACGAGATGAGGCAAAAGCAAACGATTACAAAGTAAATTGCTCGTTTAATTCATTCGGAAAATACAGGTGTGAATGAATTGGATGATATTAACACAATAACCACAGTGGCATTAAACCTGTGACGAAAGACGTCCAGCAGTAAATCTGATCATGGTTAGTGATTCGGGACGCATGCTAGTCATAAACATAATAAGACGTAGTGGAATTCGAGACCAATGCGTAAAATAAAAACGGATACTACAACTGGAATCAATCTGCACCAATAAGCGAGAGATTTTCCTTAACGTAGCATCGCAGTCACTATGTAAACTATACTCTGCATGGAACATGCCAGACAGGAGCTAGCACCGAAAATGACAGACACTGAGTTGTGATGATCAGTGACATATGCATTTGGGACTGGTAACCAACTTAACTGAATGCTGACGTCAAGACACTAGGAATATAATTGAAAGTAAGATAAATCGCATGGGTGCGTTGCGACAAGACACGCTATGTCGATCACAGTAAGGCGTGGACGGCACTTGTGCACAGAAGGGAACAGCAAAAAACCTTGAACTGACCGGAGATATGTAGCATAGGGTGACAGAACTATTAGGAACCGAACAGTAAGTGCAGAGACTTTCGAACGAAGGCACATAATGCGAATTCAATGTGTAAGCTAGTTTCTACTTGAGATCGTAAATTGTATTGGCCGAAGGCATCGATCCGTGGAGCTAGTGTGCCCCTGAGTGAATGAGGTGTTGTTTGCGGCCCACTGCAATGAGAGAGGAAACGCCCACAACAAAGTAGATGCAGTTTACTCGACGAGTCGCAACGCAGCGCCAATAGTTTGCAGTGATCACGTGCACTAGAGTCAATTTGCCAATACATGACGTGAGTTTTAACAAACAAGTTCGGGTGTATGAGAAAGGGTTTGAAGAAATGCGTCAACTCAACTATCTCGGAGTCAGGCAGTCTACCACATACCCAGAAAAGCAATACTGGTGATTCACCCTAATGAGACTCCACAGCAGGTTGTACCTCTCAGCTTCCCCACGAACCGTGCCCATCGCCTCTCAATGTCAGCAAGTAAACCGGGATGAATTATCATTAAGAATAACGATAGATTTCAAAAGCCATAGAGGTGCGGGAATCCGAATTTCAATGGCTAAAATGAGATTTTAAGTGAAGCAATGTTCGACCAACACGCTGGTTAGCCGAACATCCGTCACGCGGTGCTAGCTGGGTGGCCCGAATTAACCCAGTTCCAGCAAACAGTTCGACAGCAGTGTTCCAGGACGTGGTAGCATTTTACGGAGCAAGCTTTCACCCTAAAATAAGCCAAAAATGTCTATTTAACAACACTGTGAAGTGACGGACATGACTCGCCACTAAAAAGTCACTGCCTCCTGCCATTCCGGAGAATCTTACTCCATTCACGAACGTCAAGCACTTCGAACATATTATTTGATCCCTTTCTATGTTGGCGCATTCACCGAACAAAAGCACTAATACAGAATAACAGTAAAAAATTCAGCCAACATGATTACTTAGCCTTACACATGGATTAGCGGCATCCGTGTCCTGATTTACCGGTCACTGTGGCCTCCATGGGGACAGCCACAGGACGCCTGCGCATAAAGAGGGACCAGGGGTGGCTTGCGCTGCACCACCCACAGCTCCATCCGCACGTCCCATATTCAGTGTAAACCCGAAGGAATAAGACCGGGAGGCATGTGGATGGGAATCACGTTTCATCAATGGAGCCGGCCCACACTTCTTCAACAAGCGGAACAGAAGCATTCCGGCCTAATTGGGAAATCATGCACAACAGATGTACACAAGAGAATGGCTCGACCATAGCTCGTTCCACACAAGATGGAACCACTCATGGAGCTTAGCAAGGTCACAAGGACCGTGCACCCCGTCCCCTCCACCAACGAACAACTGTCTCCTGGAGCCAGTATGGACAAGGTAGGTAGTGGGTAATAGACAGGAAGGCACCTTTTCAACATTCGCATCAGGCGCAGCTACACAAGGGAGCTCAAACAACCTCTACTTCTGAGATGTAAGATTACTCAGCACGCAGACAAACGTACCGCATGCGCCGTCTTATTGGCCTGGATTAGTAAATCGAAGGGGAGCGTACGCATTGTGCTTGTATTCTGCGTGCAATATTGCCTTCTCCTGCACTTGGACAACCGCCATTTTGGTCAGGCCACGGAATTCGCATCGATCAAGTTTGCGTTGGATTCGCAACACCTGAAAGCAACATTAGTTCGTGAGAAAAGCACCTTGTGCGTGACCTGGTAATATTATTTTCGGTTTGCCGCAGTGCCGCTTCCCTGCATTAAATTTGCCGTACAAAAGCTGTATGAGTATCCTCGTCGAATTCATTTGGTATACATATAGACATGCATTGGCGCCATTCGTGACCGACGGTAGTTTGAATACAACACATGCACATGCGGTTGTCCAGACTTCAGCATGAATTGCCACATACATATATGCATACAAGATAAATCCAGTATGTACTTGTTAAATTGTAAATTTTTGGTACAAGTACCGATCACAAGCGTCTCTATTACTATGATCATGCCTTTTCAGGCGTGTCTCGCACGGTCGAGAATAAAACATATACTTAGTTATGTAGTTATGCGGAACAATGGCAGGTAAGTAGCCCAGTGACGTGTCAGATCAATGAAAGCAGGTCAATGAAAGCAAAACAAAGGCATAGAAATACATAGGGTTAGAATAATGCAAATTGTTAACTAGTATGCAGTTAGCAGAAGAATGTGAAACGAAAAAACAGGTCTTACACTACAATGGATGATATGGAATAGGCATAAACGTGTTCGTTGCACAGTACACTGTGGCATAGCGAGTAGAACGGACCTGGAAAATTGATGGCCAGACACCCGTGTTTAGACAACAGTCCCAAGCATGTCGTGCTGTGCAACCGCGGTGGAGGGTGTTGAAGATCCTCCACTTCTTCTATTTGTGGTTTCACAAAGCCACAGCAATCGCGTAACGCGTCATCTGCACAAGTATCCCGTCCCCATGGATGAATAAGTGACATCAAAATTTGGAGCAACTGGAATTGAGAAGCCGCGTCCACGTGAGTGTATGAAGCCTCCGACATTTCTTTCTGCAAAAAGGAAACGAGCTATGGGCAGAGATGAAAATTTCGCGAAACAGGAAGGGGCATAAGAGGACGACGGTAATCTACCGACCAATAGTTTAAAGTAAACCTAATGGAAGATGACGCAAGGCGCATAATAGATACTAGAGTGAAGCGCATCACAAAGAAGATAGAAAGGGATGAAATAACAGAGAAATAACAGAGAGTGACAAAATAGGCATAAAGAGAAAACGAAAGTAAGGGCTACTAAAAAGTAGGGGGGTTTTGACGAACTTCTCTTAAACTCATCACAGCAGCTGACGGGGACAAGAAAATTTTAATGAAAACCCCCTACTCATTAGTAGTCGAAAAATTGCTCCAATAGCATTCAAATACCATGCGCATGCAGCTGCTGTTGCAGGTAGTAGCGACCACATAGGGGCCAGTCAACGACCACAGCATGGTAGCGGACCATGTATTTGAGCAATTTAGCTAAATTGGTAGTAACGAAGCTGTTTGGATCCTACTCCTAACTGAGTAGAATACTAGCAAGATGCGTCTATGGATGATTGTGATGTTGGGGAACAGAATAAAACTTGACAAGTCGCACAGTTATCTTCTCGGTACTTTGACCAGCAAGGGCTACTACTCCCAAACGACTAAAGCGACTTAACGCATACAATGGCTGTGAGAATTGGATACCGTGCACCGGCCCCGTTTGAAGATGCCAAGTACAAGCATTCGAGAGCGATTGTCAGATGACTCAAATGAGCTTCGGATCGAGCTTAAGACAGTAGTACCGCCAGCGCATTGAAAGATTTCATCAGATCGCTTCGTAGCATAAACAATTAAAGATTATGAAAAAGGAAAGTTCACGATAAGTTTAGTTAAAAAGTTAGAGCGAATTGAAGAGGTTCCAGCAGCCTTGAAACAGGGGCAATTCGTCGCACACATTCACACGGCTATAAGAGTAGCGGTTGAGATCTCGGAATACAGATAGACGAGGTCCACAGAATCAGTGGCAGAGTTTAAGCCACCGAAGATTCCAGCCATTGACTGTTCGCTTGTGTGCAGCTGTGTCGGCACCAAGTGAAGCGGTAAATTTGGCAACCGTAAATTCTGGTGAGGAAAGGCATCAGCAGTACGCCGAGACCTGGTACTGACGCTTCGCTACCGCGCCACCAATACCAGTCGCAAGGGGCTAAGGATACTGCAAGGGTATCCCGATTCCATACTCAGGCTCGAACCCGTGACATCAGATTAAAAAACAGGCTTGTGATACTTAAATGCACGGGAGGCGTAACATCTGATGAGGCAGAACCCAATCTTATTTCCGATGAATCAACTTTAACGATGGCAGGGAGTAGATGAATGACAACGCATGTCACAAGTTTAGGAACAGTGATGGTAAGGCTGGTGCATTAATGATGGCCGCATGACGTTGGATGGTTCATTTAATAGATGAGAATGAATGTTGATATCCGCAGTCAGAGGCCCTTCTACAGCAAACTAAATGGAGGCCGATAGAGACACTCGGCCAAAAATAAGCGGACTGTCTTTAAAGGAGAATCGAAAGTAGTTTTCGGATCCATATACCTCAATTCGCACCAATAGAACACTATCGAAGCGGGCCTTTTTGAAATTGAAATGTAACGAGTCAACTTACCAGATGACACAGGAGATGGTCACATGGTGGGCCACCGGAACCACGTCAAGCATTCAAGCTGACGGAGCTCCAAATGCATCAACATTTTCCAGTGCTCGGAGACGCTCTCTGCAGCCTTTACACAACATTCTCACTCATAATGCAAGGTAGAGCAGGTCCAATCATCGAGTGATACTACAGGATGCAAAGGGACCTGATTGAGGCCAGTTGGGTGTAGCCTTACCATATTCAGTGAGAGCTGTGTCCGTTTTGCGGGCTACAGTAATTGATAGGCCTGCGATAATGACCGGCCACGGGTGAGTTTTTGGGGTTGTGCAGTAATTGTCAGGGTCTGTTCAAGTATGGGAGTGTGGTGGTAGGCCAGTGGAGCAACAGCACGCTCTCATAACGTCAAGAATAACCTGTGACGTTCGTTCTCCATGACAATCGAGCCTGGTGAATTATTCGTAAGCCATTGACCTTAATAATTGGATTGAAAAGATGGTCATCAACCCCCTATGTTGCCATTGTGAAGCATGGTGAGACGAAGAGGTACAGATGGTCGGGAGACAAGCTGAAGACGCTCCTAATCGCGCACCAGCTAATTGAGGAGTTACATAACCGATCGTATCATGTTAAGTTTCGACCTAATTGCAAATGACCATGGCCTTTTCGCAGGTCCTATACTTAGCAACTCATGTCTCCAGCGAGACCAGCGGATGCGACCTATGAGGAAGACAAATAAGATCGCGAGAAAACGGCGAAATTCACCTCAGTACGGGACGAAATAAATTCAAATGAATAATAGCAATCAAGGTCAGTTACAGTCGCCCTCTGGTGAATGGCAATGGTACAGTAACCTCTGATACAAACGCACTGTGGTCAATGTGCAATAAAGAAGCCCACACAGCCAAAGAGATGATATCTCGCTGACCTACAGTAAGGAAAAAAATTGCATTTTGACATCCCAGGAAAACGCACGTGGTATCGAATAACAAAGGAGAAGAAAACCGGGTGCTAGACCCGATCCGGCCTTCGAAGGATAGCATCACTTAGAGCATACACCGTTGGAGTGCAATATTAGTTGCAAATACGTTAACATACGCAGACAGCATGTCTAACTCAGACCTATCCTAATTAGTCGATATCAAGATTATCATTACCACTAGTTTGCAATGGTAATTAGGTTAACAACGAGAAGCTTAAATTAATATGAATCATTTTGTGTAAATGACTCAGGAATGACTTGGGCGTATTACTTTGGTAAATCAAGAATTATTGTAATGTAACGAGAAACAACAGCACAAGTAGACCAACCTTTTCATTTTGCGAAAGTATGACAGCTAGAATGGAAAGTGGACAAAAATTTGAGAGATGTATGAGACGTTTATGAAAGCCCGCTGCTACTGTGACACGAATCGCTCATTGAGGTTAACCAATTCCGAATGCGGCATAGATAGAAAGCTAGATCGTAAATTCGTTAAATATGCATAATAAATATACGTATGGAGAGTGAAAATGTGATGCAGTAAATGAGGAGTAACATCCAATCGACAAACATTAAAAGGAGAGAATACATGGTCGCATGTACATAGACGAATGTACGCACAGGCAAATACTAAAATAGAGTAAACACTAAGACTACATAAGGTGGCTATACGCTGCAATGCAATTATATGCGAGAAGATCTGTGCCGGTGAATAATGTCTGCAGCAAATTTACGAGGTTAGGCATACCTTTAAAAAAGCAATTATCTGGCTGAGTCAAGCCGAAAGGATAGTGTGTTCCGCTATGAATTAGTAGATGAACTAGTGGTTGTGGTGGTGGTGCAAGTAGTATGCGAGTTTCAGTTGTGCGGCATGAAAGAACCGTGTGTCCCAACGAAAACATCAGAACGAGGAGTGTGAGTAAAGTGCTCAAACCCAGCAGCTATGCTCAAGCAAACTAGTTTGTACCTTGGCTGCGTTGGCTCGGGCACATGCTACGTACGCCTGGTCACCGCTAATCTAGGAGGGCCTTGTTTTGTCTGCCAGGTGTAGCGTGGCGCAAGGCTCGAGGTGGACAGAAGTTGATTTGGCAGTGACGACTGAAGTCACTGACTACCAAACTCGGTGCCGTTGGTGCATCTCGCCTTCCAGGCTGGAGTCCACGTGACTCGCCTTGTGCTTGGCTCGAGACTTTACAGGATATGGCTCGCAACATACACCAGTGGCGCGTCTGCTGCCGTCTCCTAATCGGATTGCCTGTTTAAAGTGTGTTTGGTGCTGAGTTATTTGCGGGGTAATGGCTGATTAAGACGCGTGGCAGTGAAAGCCGCAAGGAAGCTGTCTCGCCGATGCCGCCTTATCTTTGCACGATAGCCAGCTGTTTGTGACGGAATGTTGTCTACACAAGGTGTAGGCGCCTTGACCGTGAATGTTTGCTTAGGGCATTAAGGTTTTCAGGTAAGTTTCCCTTCTTTCCCTCTTCTTATTCCATATTTTATAGGTGCTCATGGTTGTATGGCAGCGAAGCATCAGTTCAAATGGTTGATGTACTGCTGTTGATGATGATGATGATGGTACACCACTGGAGACGCACAGGCTTGCAGAGTGAATGACGGTTACTCTTACCTTTATTGATCTGTCGTGTAAGTAGTCTTCTAAGCAGTGTGCAGTTAACGGTTGATATCGTAGGCAGCAAGCTTTTGTAGGAGAAAGAAGTGATTGACCCTGTCGAATGCTTTAGAAAATTCAAGGTAAGCCATGTCTATGGGGACTCCTTCATCAGCCGCCCTGGTCTGCTGTGGAATTGCAAAATTTAATCCAAAAACCACTGGCATATGTGGTTACCGGTCTAAATTTTGTCTGACAGGGTCTTTCTCGCAACCATGGATGCAGCTAAGAAGACTGTCACGTGACATTTTGTATTTTGTTGATAATACGTTCATGTGGGTTAGGTCAAGAAACGTATTGGTGTCGTGATGGTTAAACCTGATCAAGGTAAGTGCAGTGGCAACAGATTTCAGACTGTCATCAACTGTGGCAAAGGAATAGAGAGAGGAGGAGCCGAAGACGCTTCAAGTGACAATATTGCTCTATCAGTTTGAGACAGTGAGTCACTCGGGTTGCCATTGTGAGACACTTCTGTTGAAGGTAACCCCAGTAAGCTGAAAACTGATAGATATACCATTGTGTCATCGTCTAGTTGATTGGACACATATGCTGCAAGGAAACAGCACAAAAGTGAGCGTTGTCAGTACCGGTATTTAAATATTTTTCATGGAAATCGTGAACTATAACGGTTCCCCATGTTACTTTGCGTGTCCACATGAGGTTATCATTTCAAACAATCGTTATGCAGCAGTGCAGTTAAATCGGTAGATGATTAAACTGGTGATTCCCTGATCGATCGATTTTTCTAGTTTTCGCCCTACCCATCCTATGGGACTTATCAAGCACATGCTTTACTACTCTTGAAAAATAATTTTTCCTGGTCGTTTGTGGGTTTCGTTGTTTCATTGCTGACGGTCTTTGCTGGTTGAAATCTGGGGCACGGCTATGCTTCTGTTTGGAGTCCTCGAGCTTTTCTAATCTTGGTGTGTCTAAACAGGCTGAAGTGGCCATCACCGCAAATTCATCGCATCGCCATCCGTTACCGTTCAATCCTGTTTAAAACCTTCATTTGATTTAGAACAAAAACAATGGATTTCTCACGAATAAAATGCAAACGCTTAATAGTTTACCATAGGGAAACTGTGGGCAAAGTGTGAGATGAAAATAGACGTGATAACAAAGAAACGCGTAAATTTTACGTGTACACATAGTTCGGTTACGTTATCCCATGTCACAATAACTTGGGTTCAATCACGGGTTGCAGGTGGTGTAAGGCATCATCAAACCGAGTTTTGAATTCAGTTAACTTAAGAGCGGAGATGACAGAATGTGGAAGTACGTGCCACGACAAACACAGAGGCATGGGGAAAAGGTTTCGGTGACATTCCAACAGGCTATACTGTGTCACCAACTGCAAACGGTGGCCTCTCAGTGATGTGTTGTGGCCAAGTTTCAATAAGGTCGGTATAGGCAGTCAGGATCCTTGAGGATCTGTGGCGCCAATAGGAGATTAACTCGCAGAAGACGATATTGTTCACTGAAAGCTCATAAGATCTCTAGTCTAAACTGGTAGGGGAGATAGAGCAAGCCCTTAACATCTTTTGTCAACCCCGTTGTGCATCCTCAAGAGCAATCAAGTCATGTATTTGCCAAGAGTGCCACACATTAATGGTGTGCTCCCGATGGCGGCGTATATAAGCGTTGAGCATATGCGAAAAGAAGGTACGATTAAACTGGTCACACGCACTCCGCAGTAGGCCAAAGTGTTGGCTGACTTTGTCCCGACTACTCGGCCTCTTTTAAGCATCCGAGATCGTTTTGCACGAGGATCCCAAGATCGCTATCATGAAAAGCGCACTGCGAAACGTATTCTTCCACTTGCTATTCGTACTTGCATTAGTGACGTATGCTCATCGTTTGCATCTGACAGGGTTAAACTCAAGCGTGTTCTGTGTCGACCACTCGCAAGCCCTGTCGAGATCACCTTACAGTGCCATGTGATCGTCCCCTCGTTTTCTTTTCCGCCAAATCTTGCGCTGGCCCGCAAATAACATAACGTTTGCGGTCAGCACTCCCGCGAGTCATTTAAGAACACTAGGATTAGACGTGGTTCTACTACAGACCCATGAAGGACATCACATTGAACGTCTATGGGGTTGGACAGGGTGCTACAGACCCGCGAATACACGCGTCGTTGGAGTAGGGATGAATGCGTCCAGTTCATGAAAAGGTTAATGATCCGATAATTCTAAAGTTGTGAAGAAGAACCCAGTGATCTAGGCGGTCAAATGTCTTCGACAAATCAAGGTACGCGGCCTCGACTCCTTCCTCAGCAGCGACGGATTTGTCGTAAATGAGCGATTTTGCGTAATGCTTGCTGCTCCCGTACTATCATATTGCACCTTTCTAAATATCCTGTGAGTGAACTGCTACGACAGATTCCATGACTTTAGCAAGCACAGGAAGGAGAGTAATTGGGCGTTCGTTTGCATACACAGCACTATTGGCTATTTTGTAAATGGGGTTGATTATCCAACTATTTCATTTAGTTAGGGTCTGCACCTCATCTAGACAGCTGTGAAAAGGTGGTGATACTTGTTTATCTAAGGGCATGGCGGCTACCATCAATGACGTGAGGAGTATGCCATCCCGGCCAGATTAACCATACCTACGTAGATACCGTCTTTGCTTAGCTCATCCGAGGCTGTGAAGAAGAGGTGGTTAAGTCTTGATGGCGAAAAGACATGTGTGGACCCTGACCATGCACTTAAATCTGCTTATCTGCGAGTGGCTTCCGGTGAACGCTCACAGCAATGTTGTGAGCGCGTAAACACTTGCCAGCTTTGGTGTATGCGCATCAAACCGTGCTGACATGCGGCTCGAATAAACGCTCACTGAACGCAGCTGAAGATCACCGGTCCCATGTTTTCCAAACGTTCTTACATGTGGACAGGTTTTCATGTGGCAAATCAGATGGCTAGCGTGTACATTAAGTCAATACGCAGTCTCTGGAACTCCTCGAAGACCACCGACGCGTGCCGCTTGGAATTGAAAAAAACGAAACTTCCATAAAACACAGGGAAAAACTGCATGCTAGCTTGAAGAGTAATTGCGAGGCCAGCTGGTCTCATAGGGCATCGGTGATGAAAACGGCTACCATTCCTGGAAAGCTTCGGAAATTATTCCGTGTGGCACAGGAAATGAGCAACGGAATACTTGGTTTCAATGGAAGTGTATGCAGGGGGAGTAGACAACTAATGCATAATTTGTCATGACGCCTGAAAAGTTGGGCTTAGCGCCTTAAGAATAAGTTATATCGGTCATTTTAAGCCTATTTAAGGACCATTAATCACTCTTCTCTGTTTGATGTGCTCATGAGTAGGGGATTTTGATGTAATTAAGTGAAATTCATTGCAGCCAGTTTAACTTTGCTGTCCCTTTACATCTTCCCTTTCGCAAAGTAGCCTAGCGTAAATCGGACTGGTGAGATTAACGACGGCCGGAATTTCAGGTGACCAGCTTTCGCACGATTTATTATTCAACATATGAGGGCAGTGAGGAGTAAAGTCCCTCACTTCGAACTTGACGTCGGTCGTTGTTTTCCGACCAGTGGCCTGAGGTCCGAAGAGCGGTGAACACGTTGGGTTGGATACACTAGCTGACTTGATGAAGAACCAACCTCAAGGACATTTGTGTTGTCAGTCGAATTGTCCCTCTTCCCCTCTTTACCTTCCTCCTCCAAAAACACCACAAACCCTATGCATTATATGATAGTTAGCACAGTGGTAGTTTGTTTAGCCTTGTGGTCTGTAACGTTTAACCGTTTATCATTCCTATCAAGCACGCGAATTTCTTCGATCCGTTTAATTCAGCCGTGCGCAGATTGGTTACCACTTACACCAGCTAGCCAATCATCTGACACAAACCCCCGGTCTCGCTGCGCGTTTCCGTGAATCTTGTACCTTCTCAATTGATTGATAAACCTCCTGCTGTTCAGACGTCTTCTGCTTGCTGGGATTACGTGTCTCGGAAGTGTGCGTTACATGCTTAGTGGTAACACGTTTTAGTGGTGACGAAAATGACGAATTCAATGCTGAATACACCTCCTATATTTTGGTCATCTGCTGAGGATAAACCGACCTCATCGAACTGGATAAGATGGAGGAAATCATTTACTAACTACGTGGAATTACTTCCTGTACTGAATCCGACCGTTTGTCTTTCGGAGGCTCACAAAATCACACTATTCAAGCAAGTGCTTGGTGATGAAGTTCAACGGCACTAGGATGCCTTACA